GGCCAAGGCCTTGTGTTGGCTCTCAGCAGTTGGGCAGTGTTATCTGTCAGCCCATGCTCCTGGGGGCACAGGGTCAGAGCTTCCTGAGTTTTCACCAGCATTGTCATGAGAAAGCTCAAAGGACACAACGGAGACTTGAAGGGGTGACTTAGTCACAAGCTCTCTTGCTCATTTGGCTCAGACTCGCATGTCTGGAGAGGAGCTGCCAGCTGACGCCCACAGATGGGTCAGTTCAGAGCTACTGCCGCATCCCTCCTTAAGAAGAGGGGTAAATGTGTCTAGGAGGAGTGGGGGTGGAGGGAGTTCCTTCCTGTGGGGCCAAGCCTGCCCAGGTGAGCCTGAGCATATGTCCATACATGAGCCTGGAACCTGAAGGTAGGATTGAACACACCCCCACATGCAAACAAGTGAGCAATGGCATGGAGCTCTCTAAAAGCAGAATTTGCAAACCAGGCCAGTCATCACTGCAGAGACCGTTTGGGAGGTGTGGATACAGTCCCAGGACTGCTGTTTAACGTGCCAGTTCTTAGAGAGATGCCAGTGACTTCCTACGCCAACACAGGCTCTGTTCCCGGCACGGCTACCTTAGCATGGTACTGGGAGCAAGGGCCCAAAGCACATGGTTTCTATGCCAGGTGACTTCTACCTGGCGTCCTCAGGGCTCACAGCTGAAAAAGGAGCCTCATCTTTTGTGGAGCCTCGAGGCTCAGGAGTTGGGTGCCGGAGATGGACACAGGCTCAGACTGTGGGAGCTTGTCTGGCATTGAACCAGTAGGAAACCGATCTACTCACAGAGGGAACCCCAGACCCGGCTTCATGCTGAGCGAGGCTGTGTGGGGAGGAAGCCGGCCACCCCCCACCCATCCTGGTGGAACTGGCTGAGGTGCAGGAAGAAATCCAAGTCTAGAGATGGCAGAAACATCTGATCCCCTGGGCTGTGTTTCAGTATGTGAGGTAAGGTGTCCCTCTTAACCGGGAAATGCCAGAGGCGCGGCTCCCCGGAAGCTACCCCAGCTCCCTGAAGCACGGCTGAGGTGGCACTCCCTGGGCCCTGTGAGGGCCCTTCTGGGTGGAAGGAAGAGAATGGCACCGTAAGAGTGAGGCTGTCCTAGCAGCCCCTAGACACTTCTGTCCCTCTCAGTGTCCCCTGCTCAGACTAGGTAAGATGGAGTTTGTAACTAAGGCTGGAGCCCTTTGTACTCATAATAGGGGAAATAGGCTGAGATACTACAGAAGGCTGTTATCAGGTGGGCCTAGGCTGGGCCCAGGCCTGGCGATCTGCTGCTGGTAAAGTGGGCTTGGTCACTGCTTGCTGGCAGCTGACCTGAAGTGTCCCAGAGCACCAAGCTGTTTGCCTTAAAGGAAGATGGGTTTACATTTGGCTGTGTCAGCCGTGATCTGTCTTGGGGACATTTGTGTGCCTGTACTCTACCTGACATCCCCACCAGGCCCCAGAAATCCATCAATCAGTAATGAGGACCTCAGAGGTAGACCTAAGCATGGACTATCAGGTAGGTTTGGGGATCTGAACAACCTCTTCGGGGTGGGGGTAGGGCACCTATGGCAGACGGTGGTTGAGCATGTCTGTAGATGTCTGCTTCTGGTCATCTTATCTTGATACTGTGGACAGCAGCACTTTTTGCTTACCTGTAGAAACCCTGAGGTGTCTCTCCCCACTTCTGGACATAGACACATACTCAAGTACCAACCCATCATTATCTTAACCTTTGGTAGACCACAGGTCAGCTGGAGTTAGGCCTCTCACCTCTGACCGACCCTCAATGAACTACACTGCTCTCCCTTCTTGCCCATAGGCCCTTAGACAAGGGTTTCCTCCCCGCCTTGCCTTCCCAGGATGGTCACAGGAAACTTTACCTTGGCTCTGGCCTCAGACCAAGCAGGTGCCCCACTGTGGGCGAAAGCATGGTGCTGGGTGTGCCAGGTAAGGGGTCAGGAAGAGGCTACCTTGCCCTCTGTCCACCCTGTTCTCAATCTCAACTGTTCTCTCCCCAAAGCTCCTAAAGTGAGTCCTTCTCAAGACCTTATGCCCGCTGGAGCAGCTGGGGCCAGCCCAGATCTACAGGGGCCTTGTCAGATATATCAGCAGTAAAAGGTTTTCTTGCCTCCATCCACATAAAGTCCGGGTGTAGGGTCAAGAGGCTGCCCTTGTGGTCAGGGCGGAAACTATCACCAAGGTGTGTGTGTGTGTGTGTGTGTGTGTGTGTGTGTGTGTGTGTGTGTG